TCCACCAGCTGAAAACGAAATTGAGAAAGCAAAACAGGTATGGTGTATAGAGTAAAGTCAAATACCACCCAATTTCGCGCCTTCCAAATCCGCCAAAACAGGGCCACGACCTGCATTAAAACCCGACAATCCAAGTTATCCTGCTCGAGGAATCGTCTCCGGAAAGTTGCCATGTGATCTTGGGGAAAACTCTCTCGAACACCATCTAAGCCAGTCCCTCCCCAGACATCCTGGGCCACCCCGCAGCGGAAGAAAAGGTGTTCAAGAGACTCATCCTCCTCTCTGCACACCGGACACTCCCGCACACCAGCAACCCCCCTCAGGATGAGCGTCTCCCCCGTCGGCAAAACCCGACGCACCAGTTGCCATATGAAATACTTCAATTTTCGGAGGAAAGGATGTGGACCAGACCCTCTTCCATAATCCACGATCCCAAGGAACCACCCTTGTTTATTCACCAACTCCTTCTCACGCCGCAATTGAGAAGCTAACTGGTACCCCGACTTAATGGAATACACACCCGAGAACTCCCCAATCCAGACCAAGCGATTAGGAACATGATCAATTGGCAGGGGAATAGCTGCAATTGCCCTAACTGTGTCTTCCTCAAATATTTGACTTAGACATTCCATCCTCCACGCCCCCTGTTGAGACTGAATCAGAGAAGCCACCTTCCCATCCACCATAACAATCCCTTGCCGAGCACGAGGAGGGCATGGATGAAGGCGAGACACCCAATTATCATGAAGAACATCCACCATTGTGCATGATCCTACCTGCCAACACAAACCCTGTCGCAACAATTTTTTGCACATATAGCTGGTAAATATCATCTTAAAATATAGCGTGGGATTCTTCATGATATTTTTTTACTATGGGCTCAATTTTTATAATTTATTACATAAATGTCTCCATACATTTCAATTAACTTTTCATTTTTTGCACATATAGCTGGTAAATATCATCTTAAAATCACTCAATCGAATTGAGAAGAAGATTCGATCATTTTGATCTGTGCTAATATTATTTTACTTAGAAAATTATCTATTTTGTCCATTTGAAAAAATAATTAAAATTTTTTTAAAAGATTTATATTGTGTGGCTCTTGGGACTAGTTAGAATATTGTGCAGTTTAAATTAAGGTATTGATACATATGAAGCTTTGTAAGTTATTTTAAACAATATGTTTAAGAGTTTGGTCATAGTTGTAAAATACTAGAAATATATAGTTTAAAATGAATATTAAATTATCTATTCAACTTCTTAAAATATGTGTATTAGACATTGTATATGTGTTTAGTACCCAAAGCATTAGATAAATAAAAAATAGATGGCTCTATAATGTAACAAGATCGAGAATTCGAGATCAAGAGTTTTAAATGCATTTACTATGTATACGGGGTATTAAATTTTTTTGTTAACATGCATGGCAAACATGTGATATCCACATTAACAAGTACCAATCAAGCACTATAGTGAGAAGAGTTGACTATTAGTATTGATGGTCAACCAAGAAAATGGTCAAAACTTATACATCATTTTGAATATACATACATATTTCAAATTTAAAAAAGCTTCATAGATTATCTTTTTATCAAATTTCATGCAAAATTGAATATTAACAAAAAAAATCAACAACATACGAAAACTAATAAACGCCCCAAGGAGGGATTATACTATGCTCATAAGCACCGGTTTTTCAATTACATAGTATCAAATAAAGAATCGTGACAAAACAATTAAAAATAATTACCATCGTAAATACTAAATACACCATCATAAGTTTCTAAAAAAAAAAATACACCATCATAAAAGAAACAAATATCCATAAGCAATCATAACAACCCAATAGTTTACCACTTCGCGGCAAAGCGCGATTTCTGTTTAGTTTAATAATTAAATGTTGCTGTTAGACTAAGATGCCCAGTATTCACTCGTTTTGTTTTAGTGCACAGTAGAACCCACCATGATAAAACTTATATATGGCTATCGTTATTTGTTTAAGACGTAATAGAACCATTGATTAATGACGATGGCTTTGAAGTGATCGACAAAATTATATAATCATTTTGACCATCCACCAGGGACAATAATTTTATTTTATTTTATGGAAGCACTAATGAAATATTTTAATTTAGAAAATAGGAATAAATAAATGGTTTCTTCCCTTGTCATTATTTTTTTATTTTCCTAAGAAAATGTTTGTGAAGGGCATTGTAAGGTTGTGTGCACTTGTGATCCTTCTTCTAGAAGTATACTAATGACAATATTATATAATCTTTTCTGGGACTAAGGAATTTAAACCTTGTTATTGATCTTTCAGTAGATACCCAATTGATATTGACGAGTTATGTATGTAATTTAGGAATTGCATTGCCCAAAAAAGAAAGATAGTTTCTTACAATAAAAAAAATTTACTGCAATTTTTTTCACCCAAACTCGTATCAGTACGATACTAGCATTTTCTCAAAACCAAATATTACTCATACCCAATTACCATTGAGTCAAGATTGCAAGGTCATCTCTAACCTCTATTTTCATAGCCGAATGGACATCGATATGAAAAAAACAGTGATACATATTGTTCAATGAGTAAGGCAATCCTTAGTGACATGTTTATACCTATTATTATTATTATTATTATTATTATTATTATATTAATAATAATACTAATTAATATAAGATTGAAATTGTCATAAATCACAAGCCATATGAAATCCATACCTTCCATCATTAAAAGTTATCACAAATTGTCTATCATACTAACAAACATTGACTCTACTACCACTAAAACTTGTGAACTCTAAAAGTATTCACGTTAATGTTTCCCTTAAAAGAACGAATCAACTAAACGACTCAAAAATCATCTTTATTTTGACGATGTAATGGCAAACTACTAAAAATCAAAGAACGATTCTTGATGAAACCGAATCAGTCGGTTCGATTCACTTATAAGAACGAGCTCCGTAGCCGCATTACCTTGGGGTTAGGGTGAATCCAATTGATGGAAAGTGGAACTGGAAACACAACATTTACGGCAATTGGCTTATTTTATCACTGGCATCGCTATTAAGCCGAGCTACTTCTATAATCTAGCTAGTACGGTCAAACTTTTTGCCTTCACTTAACAATTTGGACCTTTTTTCTTTTTTTCCGATGAAAATTTTGGGATTTTAGTTTTACCGTACGGTTATTTAAGAAAGTCATATATATTGACACCACCACCCATATCAAATCTCATATATGCCAACCATTTAATTACCTTTCGCAACCACATCATTGAATGCTACATTTAAATGCATGGTATGGTATGTGATAAAGGAACAAGGAAAATGAGGAAAATATTCCAACTACACATTACATATTAATTGTTACGACTTCCGTGCAAATGTATTGTAGTACCTAGAATGGGTTGGAAACTGTATTTCCTATTATCCTAAATCGTTGCCACCGAGATAATTACTAGATAATTACACGAATAATGACCCTATAGATGACTGTTGAGAGTTAATGAGTGAGACACTTTTCTAATGACGATAGTGGACGGGACAAACAGAAAAATAAAATTTGATCATCCTACTTAGTAGACTTTTAGAAAATGACAATTTGCATCTATGTATGTCACACCATTCTTCCATGTACATTCATTTGACAGGACATTCGTCTTGCCCTTTTTTCCTCGAGACGGTAAGTTTTTAGCAGATTTGAGATTATGAAACTTCATTTAACTTTACACATGTTTTGATACTCCAAATTTCAAGTTTAGTTTATTGGATGACGTATGTTACTTCTAAGAACTCTTAATTTAGTCCAAATCAATCAACAATATTACTGTCAAACAACTTTTTTTTACACCCTGTTTCTAAAGATGATGGAGGTTCAGGGGAAAAGAATTTTTCGGAGCTGGGATACTCTTGAATTCATCATCATTACATCGCAAATTGGATTAAGCATTCAGAACTGAATTGTGCAACAATATGAGAAGTGTCTGATATTAAAATATTTGGTTTTATAAGATTAAACTAGCACTTTATTCGTTGCTGACATATATATAATTTCTGCGAGTGTAGGCTTGGAGACAAATCTTGAAGAATACTACTGTTGAAGTTCATCGCTTCCGGTGTAATAGCAATCGCGTTTCATAGGATGACAAGCTATCGTCCTGATAGATCTGTTAAGCAAGTGCAGGAATCTACTAGGCCTAGACAACATAAGGTATCCTTGTCTAAGCTAGTATGGAAATCGATCGATTTGCCTCGTGAATCGTGATCACAGTTGATAACATGGTTGATTACTATAAATTGTATTCATACATTGGACACAATTAAAAAGTGGGATTTGGCACTTGATGATACTTATGTCGTGTTATATTGGCTGGTCATGAAACTAGCTAGCTAGGGACCATATATCCTTTGGATATGAGTTATCCCAAGAGATAATGGCAATAGTATTCTCTCCTTTGCACAGTTTTTCAGTGGTGAATGTTGGCTGGGAAAGTGCTCTGTAGCCTGAGTTTGGAACTTGAGACACGAGAAGTGTAGTTGGAGCCTTGGAGGGATCTAGTGAGGAATGCGTCGTAGTGAATTATGGAGAGAGCGATGTAGAAGGACCTATGCATCGAAATTCCTGACTGTTTTCGAGCTCGCGGACAAATTATCAGTTACATTGGTGTCTCTTCTCATTGGCTGCTGCTGCTGCAGCTATCCAGGGATCAGTATGGTTTGAGCTAGGCTAAGGGTAGAAGATTACCAGCTGCTTGCTGTTAGAAATTAGAATGAGTGGATTTAGTTAAGTGTAAAGAGTTGCCCCTTGAATTGTAACTGCATTTACTTTGTGGTATCAAAAGAGAGATTGCATTTGCTTTCCCTTCTTTTGATGATTGAGAAAAAATAATTAAAATTCGTGTTTAATAAAATATTTTAAAAAATTCCCTAAAAAAAAAAAAAAATGAAATGTTGTTCTACCTGACTATAAAATCCCCCTCCATTGTTTCTCTACACCATCTACTGCTCTTGATCGAGCTAAAAGGGGGGAAAGGAAACCTTCTTTCTCCAATTTGGTACTTCACTCTCAAATCAAATCCCTACCTAGAATGATTTCTTGGTGACTTGCCTAAAACTAAAAACTAAGGCCTCGCCTCTTCCCGTGATCTCTCTGTTTCCTTCTTTACTGCCTTTTCCTCTCTGCTCTTCTTGTGGTTTTCACTGTGCTTCCTTCGTTTGTTATTCTTCTTTCCCTTCATTTTCTCCATTTAATAACGACAAGTAGCTTTCTCTTCCCTTCCTTTCCTTTCCCACCCACCGTCCCTCATCCTCATTGCATTGTGAAACCCTCATTCACAGAGAAAACATTCCCACTGTCTCGACACCAGGAAAAAAAGAAGAAAATGAATAGTCATGGCGGCGGCTGCTTCACTCTCCTCTTCCTCTTCTGCATCTCTGTAAGTCTCCTTCCTAATTCAGCAAATCCCTTATTTTTAGCTTCTGGGCTTTTCAGATTCTGCGATTGATTGGCTCCCAATTCGACAATGCAGGTTGCTTCCATGGCGTTGGAGACGAACCCATTTACCCCCAAGGCGGCTCTGGCTCGATACTGGAACAAGGAGATCCGGAGCGGCGGCCTGCCCACCTCCCAATTCCTACTCTCCAAGGCTTCCCCCATGACCGCCGTCCAGTCCGCCACTTTCGCCAAGCTCGCCGCCCAGAGCGCCCTCTCCACCCAGCTCCCGGCCTTCTGCTCCGCCGCAGGGCTCCTCTGCTTCCCTGATTTGTCCCCCAGCCTCGAGAAGCACGACAAGGACTCCAACTTCGCCGTCTACTCCGACAAGAACTTCACCAATTACGCCACCGGGAGCGCGGGAGGGCTTGACTCCTTCAAGAACTACTCCGACGGGGAGAACCTCCCCCTCGATTCGTTCCGCCGCTACAGCCGCGACGCCGCCGGCCACAATGATAGCTTCGCCAATTACGCCCCCGGCACCAATGTCGCCGACCAGAGCTTCAACACCTACGGCGCCGGGGCCACCGGCGGGGAGGGCAAGTTCACCGGTTACAATGAGCAGATAAATGTGCCGAATCTCAAGTTCACATCTTACGCGGACGAGGGCAACGGCAGGTCCCACGACTTCACGAACTACAACAAGGATTCCAACTCCGGCAACCAGGGGTTCACGAGCTACGGCAAGAACGCGAACGGGGCTCCGAATGAGTTCGCCGGGTACGGGGAGAACGCGAATGTAATCGGGTCGGGTTTCACCAACTACGGGGAGACGGGCAACGGGGCCAACGACACGTTCACGTCGTACGGGTTCAACGGGAACGTCCCCCAGAACAATTTCAGGAGCTACGGCGACGGAGGGAACGGCGGCGTCGATGGGTTCGCTTCCTACAGGGACCAATCGAACGTCGGCGACGATTCTTTCCAGTCGTACGCGAAGAATTCCAACGCCGCCAAGGTCAATTTCGGCAATTACGGGAAGTCGTTCAACGAAGGGACGGACAAATTCTCCGGGTACGGGCAGGGCGGAGTCGGGCCGAAGATCGGGTTCAAGGGCTACGGAGTGAACAACACCTTCAAGGACTACACCAAGTCCTCCGGCGCCGTCACCTTCGCCGGCTACACGAACCGGAGCTCGTCGTCGGAGATGAAGGTGAGCGGCAGTTTGGTAAATAGGTGGGTCGAGCCGGGCAAATTCTTCCGCGAGGCGGAGCTGAAAAAGGGGAACGCGATGCCGATGCCGGACATCCGCGACAGGATGCCGAAAAGGTCGTTTCTGCCCCGCACCATAATCTCGAAACTGCCCTTCGCCACGTCACACATCGGCGAGCTGAAGCGGATCTTCCACGCCGACGACAACTCGACGATGGAAGCGATGATCGCGAACTCGCTGAGCGAGTGCGAGCGCTCGCCGAGCCCCGGGGAGACGAAGCGGTGCGTGGGGTCGGCGGAGGACATGATCGACTTCGCGACGTCGGTGCTGGGGCGGCGCGTGGAGCTGCGGACGACGGCGAACGTGGAGGGTGCGAAGCGGAAGATCTTGATCGGGGCGGTGAAAGGGATCAACGGTGGAGAAGTCACGAAATCCGTGTCTTGCCACCAAAGCCTGTACCCTTACCTACTGTATTACTGCCACTCGGTTCCGAAAGTCCGGGTCTACGAAGCGGATATTCTCGACCCGAGCAGCAAGGCCAGGATCAACCACGGGGTTGCCATCTGTCACGTTGACACGTCATCGTGGAGCCCGACCCACGGAGCGTTCATGGCTCTGGGCTCGGGTCCGGGTCGGATCGAGGTCTGCCACTGGATATTCGAGAACGACCTGACTTGGACCATTGCTGACAACTGATTCAAGGAAGTTGGGTCGGGTCGGATCTTATTTGGGTTTGAGCCATTCGCTCAGACAACTGCTGCAGCCCAGATGGTCAAATGGCTGAAGGGGAAAGTGCTTTTTAATTTTATCTTTATTTTTACATATTTTTAATCGAGTTTCTTAAGCCTAAGATAAGGGAGGCTCGCTGGTGTTTAGTTTGGGAGGAAACTTATTATTATTATGATTATGATATGATTATATGAATGAATGAATCATGATTTATTGTGATCATAATAATAATTATTATCATGAAATCATAAACCTGTCATTTTATTATCAAGGGCGGCTTACTGTTTTTGTTGTTTCCTTTTAGTGCCTACTTTCTTGTCATGAACTCCACTTTGAAGACCATTCAGTTTCAGCTGTGGATTGATTTTTTGCCTTGGTTCTATTCCATTCTTCTCATCGAATAAGGCAACTCGGCATCCCGAAATGACACTTGTTTTGGATTCTTAAATCATTTCTGGACTGCATCCAGAAATGTTGTTTGTTTGTATGATACAAGATGGATATTTATCAAATCTAGGCATTCCTGCTGTCAGTGTTCTGATCATAGAAATCAAGGAGTTCCTTTATCTATTGAAGGTGAAGGTAATGTCTTTTTCATCTATCCGAGCTGAAATCTGTGCAGCTTGTGTCATTCTAATCTCCTGTTAACAGAGGGAGACTGGTTCTTTTGGATGATGATGATGATGAAGAAGTTCTGGAGACACTAGATTCTGCAGATGAAACACGTGATGAATGGTAAGTTCAGCTTCAGATGGTGTTTTCTCCTCTTGTTCTGTTTTGTTTCTTTTGCCTAGTTCCCTATATTAACAAGCATTTGCTTTTCCCTGTGACCTTCAGCATGAAAGATGTTAAAATCTACTACCCATCAAGGTATGTTTGAATTTGTTCTTTGGGCATAGTTAAGTTAAGAAGGTCAAACCAGGGATGGTCCAGGATGCGACTATTGACTTCTTGGTGTTGATGCAGGAACGATCCAGAATGCGTTGAAATTTGTTTCCGGGATATAGACTGTCTGGCTCCTGAAAGTTTCCTGACATATTCTATATCATGAACTTTTACATACGGTAATGTGAACTTTCATCCTGGTTACCTTTTGTTTTTCGGTGCCAATTGGCAGCTCGTATCACCAAGAATCAAAGATGCACCAAACGGCAAACACGACCATACCAATAGGATACCACGAAAGGGCTTTTCTTGCCACTATATGGGTGTCAGTTAGGATGACTAATTTATTGAGCTCAGTGATGGAACAATAGGTAATTTCAGATGGGCTACAGTAGTGCCCTCAGTATTTAATGTGGTTCTAACATGTTTATTCGTGTGTTAAGAAAACATTATAAAGTGACAAGATAACTGACTATTATAAAGCACAAATTTTGTCTCCATTCACTGGTCAACGGTGTTTGGGAGTAATGGAATTCACTTTTACCATCTCAAAAGTGATAGAAACGGAGCTGTTTTTGGGTGTAGCTGGTTATTGTGGTGAATGTTTGAGCCTTTCATCAGTTGCTCATCACTACTTGAATCTGGAAATATTGAGGTTGAGTACTGTCCATGTTTCTATTTGATCTCTTGTTTAGGTACCTAGAGTTGCAGGCTTCTCCATCACAAAAGGCTACTTGTGATTATCACATATTGAGTACATTCTTCTACAAGCTGCAACAGGAGTTGTCACGGAAGGTAGTTAAATTGAATGCTTCAGAACCATGGCTGTCTGGGTATATGATTGTACTATTGTTCACCTGTAATCCGCTTTCATGTGTAGGGAAGTGGAAAGGAATCCCTCTTTGTCAAGTTTAGAAGATGGTGGAAGGGTGTGAACTTATTTGAGAAGACATACATACTGATTCCTATACACGAAGAGTAAGTTTCTTTTCAGGTTCATTGTACAATTTCTTCTGGTTGCTAATTGCTGCAAGCTGTCAGCTTCCATTTTTGTATGTTCAATCGATTTAGCCGCTTATTGACTAATCCTATTTGAAGCTCAGTAAAATGAAAAAGGGATTTGCTTCCGAAGCTCCCTTCTTTCCCTTGATTTGAGCGTAATCGTGACATTATTCATTGGTGTTGATGTATCAGTCTTCACTTGAGCTTGGTGATCATATGTTTCCCTGAGAAAAAGGACAACAAATCAGGACCAATGTTGCTGCATTTGGACTCATTAAAGCTCCACTATAGCAGAGTTGTTTTGGAGGATATCACTAGGTGAGACTAAAATTACCTTGTAATTGGAAGGACATAGTTTTGTAGCTAGGTTTTGGCTGTTTCTGATTTTGGTAACTATTCAAATAGTTAAAATAGATCTCTCACATCACAATTTGTTTGTCATTCAGTCAGATGTTGAGATCTCTGACAGAATATGAAAGCGACTTCATACCATTTCTTCAAAAAGAATCGAGGTAAACAAGTACCCCGAGTTTGAATTTCATATGATGTTTGTGTTGTAGGATTGATCCGATCGAGTCCAGCAGCTCATGCATGTATTCTGAATCCTAAATCACTATGCATACCAGGTTCCCTAGCAGAAAAACGATTATGATTGTGAGTCCAGCAGCTCATGCATGTATTCTGAATCCTAAATCACTATGCATACCAGGTTCCCCAGCAGAAAAACGATTATGATTGTGGTATCTTTGTACTTTTTTCTATGGAGCGCTTCATTGATGAAGCCCCCGAGAGGCTGAAAGAAGTGGACCAGGACATGGTAATATTTTCCACCCACCCACCCATCCGCTTGAAGATTTATCTTTCTTTTCAGTCTCTAGTTTTCCATGTCATCTGAATATAACCTGAGAAATACTATCATATGTATACAATCTTTCTGGTTTGTTAAATTAACAAAGCACAGCATTGCTTGCGGATCATTTCCGGAGGAGCAACAGCAGCAGAAAACAGTACTTCAACTGAGGAATCCTGACTTTGTACAGCTCGGATTCAGGGTAAAGAAGCACATCAATGAGTTAGGTGTGTACATCCTGAGAAAGAGGAGGGGAAACTTGTGGATTACCCATTGCCATTCCTAGTTTCCACCCTTTTATACTCATATCAATATAATAATAATTGTATGCAACATGGAGCGGAAAGAAGTAAGCACTGAGAAGGGGAAAGTGGAGAACAGAGAGGGAGAAGAAGAATAAAAGCAGAGGCAGGGTTGGTTGGCTGGCTGGCTGTGGATCCTTTCCTAAATCGCAAAGTGCAAGTTGAAGCACACAACAACAACAACAACAGTGTCAGTCAGCTTGTTGGCTATTGGCGCTATCTGTTCACGCGGGAGAAGAGAACTGGTTGGATGATGGATAACAACTGGGTATCGTCGATAGCGATTGGGCTTGGACCGTAGCTAGCTAGCTAGCAGAGCTGATCATCCATGTGGGTATTAAATTAGAGAGACAGATGGAGAGTTGCTATCCGTATTTAAGGTTCAAAATCCAAATGGAGAGCTGATCACGGTACTCTGACTCAAATAGGTATAGAGGACAAGTAGTATCAAACTATCAATATATATGGCTTCCATTTTTGAATCATGTCCGGTGTCTGAATTCTGTTCGGTTAATTTGTCAAGAACCAGGTGATTCCAATAATTCGAGTTGTTGGGAGAGGTTCAATGGTAGATGATATACAGTTCCTCTTTCGACTCGCTCACAAGTCTCTAAACAAGTGCTCTGGACAATAGGATCTTGTTCGAAACCTAAGATCATGGGGATGCTCACTTGCCAAAATGATACATTCCCGAGCCTGTACTTCTTCATCCACGCATTTCAGAAAGAACTATAGGAGTCGTTTGGAACCTTTGATTATGGAAATATTGTATTATGAAAATGTGTGTATTAAAGATTATGTGTATACTAAGAATGTGTGGTTTTAAAAATTCATTGTTTCCAAACGAGCCCATATGATAAGCCAGGCTTGACCAGACATGCCTAATGAGTAATGACACATATAGTGTTGGGGGTTTTCATTTCCTTGAATCTTGACTCTCCTTCTTTAGACCGAGCTAGTAGAGTCCATGCCACATTTGCTTCCCCCCCCCCCCCCCCTTGATGACCACAAGAAATCTTAGCACAATCTTTCAATCTACTTTATTTCATTGCCTGGCACCTAGAAGATACTTATCTAGTACTAGGTAATGCTTGCTAGCACAGAAATAATCAATTGGATCTTCCCTGCATTAGACAGTAATCTTGCTTTCCATATTTTTAATTGGGAAAGAGGTTTTAATTTTTAATGGTCGGTAATAATTTATAATTAATTGTGAATTATATATCATTTTACCCTAGATGCAAACCATTGGGTATCACTCATGTCTGTTTTGCTGATGACCTGATGGTGTTTACAAATGGTTCTGTTAGAGGGGTGGCGGGGGTCAGAAGGTTGTTGGACAAGTTTTATAGTCTATCAGGATTAAAATGCAATCCTGCCAAGAGCCAGTTGTTCTGTGCAGGGATTCAAAGAGAGGAAGCTGAGATGATCTATGAGGTAACTGGATTTCCTCTCGGTACGTTGCTAGTGAAGTACTTAGGGGTCCCCCTGATCTCCGGGAAGTTAATGAGAAAGGGTTGCAAGGTTTTGGTTGATAAAATAACACAGAGACTTAGAAGTTGGAGGGAACAGATACTGAGTTATGTAGGTAAGTTGTAGTTGGTAACCACTGTTATTTCAAGTACCCTACAATACTGGTTGAATCTCTTCTTATTACCTCAGTATGTTATCAAGGAGGTTAGAAAAGTTGTGTAGTGAATTCCTCTGGAATATTAATGATGAAGGGGGGATGTCAAAAGCAGTGGTGACTTGGGAGAAACTGACTAAACCAAAAGCTGAGGGTGGTCTAGGGATCAGAAATTTTCGTATTTGGAAGATTGTCTGTGTGGCAAGGCACATCTGGAACCTGCTGGCTGCTAGTGGTTCTTTATTGGTAGCATGGGTGAAGAGATATAGGCTAAAAGCACGAAGCATCAGGAGTATCAATCCTAACTCAGCTGGCACCTGGATATGGAAGAGGCTCCTGAAATGTAGGAGGGTTATGGAGCAATATGTCACTGGCGAAGGGGCTGGACTGATGTGGGATGGAGTGGTAATGCCAAGGTATTCTGTAAAAGTTGTATGAAATACGCTACGTCCTAAGTTAGTTGTGGTGGAATGGAGGAAGCTGGTTTGGAACAAGAATGTTATACCAAGGCATGGATTCTTATTATGTTAGCTATTATGCAGAAATTAACATTACAAGACAAGTTGATCAGTTGGGGCAAGGAGGTGTCTGGTTGTTGTTTACTTTGTCCAGGGGTTAGAGAAAACTTTGTTGGTGCATTGTTCATATACTAGATTTGTGTTGGCATCATGCTTGGAGGGTTATTGTTATCCATTTCTTGCATCATGGGAGAATGTGGTGAGTTGGTGTGCGAGGGCATGGAGTAAGAGGGCAGTAGCTATTCGACTAAGCAGTATGATTTGGAGCACTTCAATTAGTCTTCTCTAGCGTGAAAAGTGCAATAGAATGTATGGGGACAGGTCTGTAAAGAGTCATGGGCTGCTCAGTCGAGAAGGATCTCAGATTTAGATGGTAGAGTGATAGAACTACAGTATAGAATTATAGATTTGTTTTTATTAGCATGTTGATAGATTGAAAATGAGTGTACTGGTTTGAGATGCAGCTGGGAAGTTCCTAGTAAGCCCGATCTTAATGCAATTTTTGATTTAACCATCAAATTTTTTTTTTATTGTGTTCCAAGTTTACATTATCAACGTTTTTTAATCCTGTCATTGTTTCGTGGTTTGATTTTTAACGTTTGTTGTTTTTGCTATCAATTTTACAAGCTTCCATTACAACAAATTATAGTAATAATTTCGTTATTATTGTCGCATGTTTGCATTCTTTTTTCATACATAATCAATATCGTCTCAAGGTTTCAAGTTGAAACAATGCATTGTTTCATGAAGAGTTACCCTTATCCATGAGAATGCAACACATTGTTTCATGAAATTCATGCAACACATTGTTTCATTAACATTTGTTCTTGTCCATAAAGCGTTATTTCGTAAAATGTTATTTTATCCATGATAATGCAACCGTCAATAAATCAAAGGGGTGCGTCCCTTCGTAAATTAGAATATTTATATGACTGGTCAATCCAAAACGATTTGGTTGGTCCAACCCCAAAACCAGATTAAGCCAATCAGTCTAGTTCAAATGAATTTCTAGCATCTTCTAGAGTAAGCAACAAAAGTCTATGCTGAAAAATGGACATGAAACATGAATGAGATTGATAAGGAAAAATAAAATGGTCATCGCCCTCAAGTTTGTTTCTCCCCTATTTTAAATGATTTTTAAACTCACCAATAATTTTAACCAAATGAAACAAATTATTCAAATTAATCAAACCAAATTAACCAAAAACTACATGATTTAAAATGGTTACCATGGGATTATGTCCATTTCACTGGTAGTTGGTTTCCTTCATGATCTAGGTAAGCCGCACTGTATCTCGTAACATGTGATTTTATCACGTCTAGAAGAGACACCACAAAAACTCACAGTGACCTTTCCATCTCGGGTATTCGAAGCACAACCCTTAATTACAATGTTGGTATGCAGTTTTAGTAATGCTTTTCCAAGTAAAGGAACTTCAACGACGAGAATGACACAAAAGATGCAGATGTCTTTCTTGATTCCTTTCCTATTTTGACCCTCATCCAAAACTCTTCCTTATGACGGCATTAATGGCGGGCATTGGTTCGATGTACAAGCTGCAGCCCGATAATGAGTTGGTGGACTTGGGACCTCCACGCAGCTCTTCCTCAGCATCGATCAAAGCTAGTTTCATAAGACATGAATGATGACAGCGTTAATGGCTGCTGGTTTTTGTTTGTTTGCTGTAAACAGATTTTGCAAAAGGCATGAAGTCTGCAGAGCATCGAAGGAAGCAAAATTAGCAGCTAAAGCGCATGCACAGGACAAGGGTTGTTTCCGGCGTAGCTAGCTGGTAATGGAGTTTGTGTAATTGTAACGGTTAGGGTGGACGAAGACATATTGGAGATCATGTCGTCATCACAATACGTTACGATTTTTCCCCCCAAGTTCCTAACTTTGATGATGTAGGCATTACACGCAGTTCGTCTCCATAGTAAATGGTATTAAATATATAACTGAGTATTCAGTACCTACACTTCTCAAAATTTACATATTGGTTCAATGTTTAGATGTCGTCATTTGGATTCATGATCCAATCCACTAATCCGTTTGATACACGGATCCACTGATCCAATCCATTTGCCAAACATCTCTATACCAAATCATTCGATAACCAAGATGTTTTATGCTCAAATCTCGACGACCCCTATTTGTTAGGCACACAATATTCATTTCCCCGTATAGTTGATAATTTTTGAGTTGTTTGTATCACGTATTTAATAGTAATTACTAATAAGTATATAAACAATATGCAATACATAATTTCTCATTAAAATTATAAACGATACGCATTTGCTCGCGTACTCAAAGTCTTAAACATAATATATATGGTGAGATTTATAATCTAAAATGTATGAAATTATCAACAGGCCAACTCATAATATATAGATCGACTCGTTGCTAAGTCGTTAGTCTAGCCGACTCGCTGGCCACATTACGAGCCAGCTCATCAGTTCAAAACGAGCTGGCTCACGAGTTGAACTGAACAAGCCACGAAATCGAGCAGACTCACAAGTCTTGCAAACTAAACAATACATAACTCAAGTGGGTTTTTTGAGCTGAGTGTCGAACAAATTTTCCCGAACCGGACATCGAACTGCTCTCTTGAGCAGATTGGCTCATTTGCACTCTTAGGTGATAGTGTTGTGTGCTACTATTGTATCTCTAACAAAACATGCCCAAGGAGGAGGCCGGTATGTCAACACGATATCCAGTTATCAAACTAGGGTCCTAGGGCCCTAGGGCCCAGATCGATGAGGAGTCCGCTTATGGGGAAGCCATATAACGAATTGGCAACAACTCAGGCCATGGATTGTGCGAGGCCCACGGGCCATAACCTCAATTTTATGGCCCATGAAGAGCGGAACTCGCGTCAGTGATGCCTCCTAAACCTCCGCAGACAGACGGAGGGGGGTTTAGGGAAAAGAGGACGGCCAGGTATTTGTGGAGAAAGGAAGAATGGCGGCCAGTGGAGCACGAAGAATCTTCCAATACTCTTCATCGTCTTCCTCGAAGACCCTTTTCTCCGGTGCCAGCTTAGCCGGAAATGGAAGGACTTCTACTTTCGCTAAGAAAGCCTCCAAGCTGAGTGGGCTGTCTCCTCCTAAGCCGAGCTCTTCTTCCCCGCTCTCACACCCTAGGCTCGCCTTCTCCAGGTTTTGATTTCGATTTTCCCTCATCATTTTCGGACAATATCTTTCGATTTGAAGGATTCGAGGGCATTTCGTAATTATTGTTTTGAGTCCAGGTTTCCCATTTGATTTGGAAATCTTCTTGCTTCATGTTCCGCCGTCTCGATTTATTGGATAAGAGTGTTGTGAATGAGCAATTGGATGGAGACTTGGAGAGGAATTTCTTGATCTTTATATTTGGTGGCTTTTTGGTGACGGTATATAGATGATTCTAAATGTGCGATTTTGTGCTGGATGTTTGTTAGGCTTCCTGTGGAGTTAGGCGGTGCTCTCACTTTGATGCCGTTGCATAGTGCCACTTCATCTGCATTGTTCACTTCGTTGCTATCCTTGCACAGCCAAAGCTGGGGCTGTCTATCAGAAGGTACTGTTTCCCCTATCGGGGGGATGCGCTTTATGCTACACTCCCAGCGCGTGATATGTATTGTTGTGGATGAGCGTTGTAGTCACAACACCTTACCGGTTCTTGCTGAAAAATGTCGGATCACTCGATTACTTTAGCATTTGCATAATGTAAATAAGCATGCACCTATTTGGCATGAGTAGTTTGTGTTTGCGTCCTCTTCGAGGAATGGTTTAGTAACAATGAACATGGACCAAGGTTTGTTGGGTGCATTCTCTGCCCATTATAAATGCCAAATAGAAGACTTCATGTGCTTTGATTAATGCCCAATGTGAGCTCGTAATTGTTAAATGGAAGACTTGGCATACTTGGGGGATGAAGTTCACTGCTAGCTAGAGTTTACGGGTTAGAACTAAGTATAGCTTTCCTTTATTTGATAATGGTTTCAATTGGTGAATATTGGCCATAAGATTTGATCGTTGCTGAGTGTTGTTGTATGTTTGTTCATTCTGTATTACCAGTAGGCCAGCATCTTGAAATTTACTGTCATGAAGTGTTATAGCCACATGTACCTTGATACTGCTTCATTGAACTCTAAATGATGGGGGAAGGTGACTTTGAATGTTATTGTGCTGTATAGAATTTGGGGATGGTTCTGGGTGCCATTCGATCACTTGTGCAATTCGTTTGAAAATAGCTTGTTTAAGGACACAGATTAATAAGTTACTTGAGCTGGGCCGTGTTATCTTTGGACTCCTTGTAATTCTATCTTGTACTAGTCCTGTTACTACATTAAATCTCTGTTTCACTGTAAAGTCTTGAACCAATCCGATGCTCATCAATTTCTTAACGTTTGCAGGTTTTGCGACACCACTATAGCATGGCCAGTGGACTTGTCTGATACCTGCCGGTTACATCAGTGCCGCGGTAGAGATGTGTTTGTAGCTCACTTCTTTCTTACTGCTTTCCTTTCGCAATAGTCAAACCCTGGATTTGTACCAAGGAAGAAGAGTGTGTTTCATTTGGCATTCTAACAATGCTCTCAAGAAAGAATAGCTTTGGAATAACCAGCTGCTGGTCGAATCCGTTTTATTTTTTTGAGAAGCACTCGCCTAGTTTATGACCGTTATCTTTTTCGAGTTGGGTACTCATTTCTCTGTATTCTGTCGATCGATGAGAAGATGACATTTTTATGTCTCCAAACTCCAGCTGAGTTGTTACTGTTGTTTTTGAATGTTGAGCTGGTAGCCACAAATCCTGGCAATGAGCGGTTAGGCGGGAACTGGCAGGAGTCACATCAGCCAACTTGAAGCCGGCCGCCCACCGGCCTGTTTGAGACATTATTTATATTTACGTACTTTTTTTTATAATGTGAGAATAATTATTTTTATTTGATAATATATATAAATAATTGGAAATTTCATGTATAATTTTAGAAAATTGTCCCGAATGAGAAAGAAAAGCTCTAGAGAGAAAATCAAAAGAAATAAAAGCTGGAACTCAAGCTTAAAATTTTACGCCGTCAAGTCTCATTGAGAGAAAATCTCTTTGAGAGAAATAGAGAGAAAATATTTTGCACAAAAAAGAAAAAGAGAGAAATGATAGTCTGCTTGTAACCTTTCATACTTGTAAATTAGAATAATATACTAATTATTAGAATTTGACAAAGAAGACAAAAGTGAAAAAAAGGAAACTAAGAATAGCTCAAAATTAATCAAAGAGAAAGTAGAAAGTTTATTATGGTAATTAGTTAGCATGCTTCATTTCAAAAATATTTTTTAATGGTTGCGATTTTTCTGAGAAAAAACATTAAATTCAGACTTCAGAGCAATTATGTTGAAGGGGTTGTTACCAGGGACCCTAGCAAGTCTTGCATGACTACTATTAGCCATGTAAGCACAAACTTATGAGTTATACTAAGTTATATAACTTGAGTAGTCAATAATAATTAGAGAGGCTGCCCTATTGTAACATAGAAATTAGGTTCAATGTGCGGAACAAATCTAGATTTTTGAGTATCAGTTATAAAACCATATGGGAAAATATCATGTATCTTGAAAGACTTACGCAACAATCCGCACTCCTCTACATCAAGAAAGATGACTAATTCTTCCTCTCGTTCTAACTCCCTGGGCACAAAATGACCCCAATTTAGTGCTCTTTCAATTCGAAGACCGAGAAGTTCGGGACTTGTTCCATTACTTGAGCAATCAAACTTTTTATTTATTTATTCTTTAGGATGTCAAGCAATAACGAAATTGAACTAGTGGAAGAACAAGTTACTAATGCCGCCACCATGGATTAAATTGTGGAAGAACCGATTTCTGATGCGATAACTATCAGTGACCTTGATGAGTCACAAGATAGTAGGGGTGAGAGAGATTCTACTTCTGACTCAGAAGCAAACTCATTGAACAAAAGTGGCATTACACGCTCACTATCATATAGATAATTAAGGGATTGTCGTGATGATTATATATATGTAAAAAAATCTCTTGCATGTATTGTCTCGAACTAATTGTATCTTTTTTTGAAACATTTTATAGGGCTATTTGTTTTTTGTTTAGACTTCATGTGCTAGCGATTTTTGGAGGTGTAATCATTGGCTACATTCAAACTACGATAAGTATGAGATTGTTATTGTATTCAAAATTTTATCGGCTTAGAAGAAGATTCTACAAAGCATTATAATTTCAACACCTTTGTTCTGATCAATTTTGTTGGGTTAACTTATATGTCAGGTGGAGTTCTTGTGATGAGTAGTTTTCTAAAACACTTTTCTCATTCAACTTATATCGATAAGAAGTTTGCTAAAGTAAACAACTACAGTTCGTATGTGAGCACAAAGATACAATTTTATGTAGCTTCACTACCTACAGTAGTTGCTTTAGCATACAGCTTCGCACTTCGAAACAACATAAAAGGGGAAACAAGAACACTTTCACCCTCGCAACCCTTGCACTCTTCCTAGGCTTTGTGTTTATCCAACACCCCCCCAATCCAAGATTCCAAATTATTGCCAATGTGATATTGGGGGTTGGGATTGGATTCTTACATCAGGTTAGATGACCTCTTTCTTGCTATTTAGTTAAATAGTTTGATAAGCATGTCACCCTCGCAACCCTTGCACTCTTCCTAGGCTTTGTGTTTATCCAACACTCCCCCAATCCAAGATTCCAAATTATTGCCAATGTGATATTGGGGGTTGGGATTGGATTCTTACATCAGGTTAGATGATCTTTTTCTTGCTATTTAGTTAAATAGTTTGATAAGCATGTCTTAAGAGAAGCTTATAACATTTATAATTTTTTTATTTTTTAGATAAGGATGATATAAGTTATTTTTTGTTGTTTATGTTAGATGATCTCTTTCTTGCTATTTAGTTAAATAGTTTGATAAGCATGTCTTAAGAGAAGCTTATAACATTTATAATTTTTTTTATTTTTTAGATAAGGATGATATAAGTTATTTTTTGCTTAGATGATCTCTTTCTTGCTATTTAGTTAAATAGTTTGATAAGCATGTCTTAAGAGAAGCTTATAACATTTATAATTTTTTTATTTTTTAGATAAGGATGATATAAGTTATTTTTTGTTGTTTAGGTACTATTTAAGGGGCTCGAAACTGGGACCTCCAGGTTCAAAGCTAGTGGTATTACCACTAGACTAAACCCTTGTTGTATAGCATTTATAATTCTTAATTTACTTTTACCCAATTTACATATTCTTGTTGTTTGTTGTAGGCAACGCCGAGACTGCAATATGAATTGGCACCTGAAAAACTAGGTGCAAGATTGTCGTTGTTTTTAGTAGCTCCATTACCCTTGGTTCAGGCACGACAACTGTCATCAACTGATGTACATCCTTAATGGACGACGGGTGGAAATTATCGTACTTCTTATTGTTGATCCCAATCTTTGTTTTATTTTGCCTCGACACCCTTTTTGTAAAAAGGTCTCCACTATGGTTGGTGGAGAAAAACAAAGAAGAAAAAGCCTAAGAAAACTTACGAAAAATAAGAGGCACATTAGACATAGAATTAGAGTTTAATAGTATTAGAAGGAGCAAAGTAGAAAGTTGGACTTGCGCACATTTGACGATAGAATAGTGTTATTGTATACGTTACCTTAATCGCAAGGAGGGGGATCCCAAAGGCAGGAGGAACGAATATACTCGAACTTTGTGAGTGGTTATGCACTTTCTTCGTTACTGACAAATATATCTTTTTCGCGAGGAACTCCTATTATTGGATGAAATGATAAAAGAATACTCGCCCTTTATAGTCGCGACTGTTGTCATGGAGGGCGTTTTCGAAGCCTCCAAGCCAACCAACATTTATAGAACAAGGAAAACTGCCTGCAAGAGATGCTACCTGACCTTAGGCACCAACATTATTATGCCTTTCTTGAATGCTACCAATCGTTTGGCGAGACAAGTCCAAAGCCAATCCACAATTTACTTGGATATATAACCTGCCTTTCAAATACCACATGTTTTTTTGTATGCCATGATGATTTTTTAAAATTTTCAATTGTAAAAACTATTAGGTAGTTTTCTTCAATCCCTTATCTGAAATAATGTATGCAAGTGCAACCATTTGGGTTTGAACAAAAGTCTACCAGTAAGATGATATAGTTACTCTCTATTTGACCTGTTACACACATTGGGAGAATTGTTGAGATTGATTCATTCATGAAAAAGATTGTTTAGACCAATTCCTTACCTGTACTATAGTCTACCCATAACCTATGGGTTCAAATCAATGAATCAAGGTTTCACCGTTCACGGCACACAAGGCCTAAATGCCAAAACTTTCGCCAAACCAAAGGTGTATCACGATTAGCGGTCGTTTGGACGAGGGTTTTCCAAAATGAGTGATTTTGGCCAAAATTTTCTATTCAGGCATAAATAGTTATGGCAATGGGGCGTGGCGGGTAATACCCGATCTATCGTGGGTCACGTCGGGTAATACCTGCGGGGCGGGTTCAAATTGCCATCACTAGACATAAAGTGCTAACTAGGCTTTCAACGAGAGAGTAAGGGCTCGCGCTCGCAATAGTTTCAGCCCAACTCAGTTCAGCCTACCAATTATTTGAGGTATTCGACTAGTCAATTTAAAGAATAAGTTGGTGTAAAGCTCCTTATATCGCCTGCATTCAAAAAACAAGTGAGCATGTGTTTCTAGGCTACAACATGAAGTCAACCCCCTGAAATCCCCAAGTGAGCATCTTATCACAAGTAATAGTGAATTCTCTTATGACAAGCCAACTTAAGAACTGATTTATGGGGATGAAAGGAGATTTCCATATCAATTTGGACCTAGACACTACTGCTTCTCTAGGCCTTAATTGCTCTCACACCAGTTTAGTTGAAAAGTTCTTTAAGATTTTACCATTCTAGCTTCCCACGCCATCATTAACTTCCAGATGCCCCTATTTTACAGGTTGTTGTCCATAATTCATGACCATGCAGCATGTATTCCCGGATCCAGGGCTACCTAGAGGGAACATTTTTTTTGGAATAAATACCATATATGCCTTACAAGACAAGCTTGGTTCCAACTATTTGAGGTCCATAATTTCCAGATACCCCCTCTTTTTTTGGGAAAGAAATTCTACTCCATGCTACGACAACCTTCTGTCTCCCTTCAACACCAACTCCCCAAAGAAAGTCACGGCAAAGTTTCTCTATCTCAACAATACCCCTTTAGGCAAAATAACAATTTTCATCAAGAACTGAACCAAATTGTAAAGGACATACATCACTAGTTGAAGCTTTCCAGCATAACTCAACAACTTGGATCCTCAACTGGATTCTACTCATGATTTTTTCAAGTAAAGGCCGGCAAGCTTTGATAGAAAGTTTATATGGGATAAGGGGAATCCCCAAGTATCCACTAGCAATGTCTCAAGCTTGTAGCTAGCCCTATGCGACATACTTTCCTTCCACTCTTTAGGCAATCCATCACACTATAATTCTAATTAGAAGGGTTATAGATAAGACCAGAAAGATCCCTGAAGTGAGATAAGACATGTTGTATGCATTGTATTCCACAGGTTGTACCATCCGAGAAGAGTAGCAGGTCATCAACAAACATAATACGTGTCAGGGAAATTCTTTTGCATATTGGATGAAAATGAAGACTAATTTCCTCCACCACTACTCCCATAAGACAGCAAAACACCTCCATTACCACTGCAAATAAGTAAGAGAACAAGGGATCCCCCCGCCTAAGACCTTTATGAATAGAGAAGTAACCCACTACCCCTCCATTAAAGTCTACATTAAGCTTAGGATTGGTGATACACAGAAATCCATATGATGAATTAATCTGGGAAACACATAGCCTCGGGATCGGTTAGCTTGACTACCCC